AGTCACTATGTGAAGCGTTCAGACAATATTCACACTAATAATTCCGACAAAACATGGAATTATTCAGTCAGCCAGCACGTTCCTACCAATGATTTTGACAAAGTTTTGAATTATTCCAACAAATTTCACTGTTTATCAATAGTGAAAGTAAGTCATCATTCATCAATAGTAAAAGCAATGTCACCCAAGACCTTTTTTCAAGTCTATAAGAAGTGGACTTTGGAGGAGGAAGGTTTCAAGTTTGAAATTTCCACAATTTCTTAGTTAAAACTTTCATTAAGTTTACACTGTACCCAAGAAATCAAAATTGTAAACACTTTTAATTTTCAAATGTCAAGGATGCCTGCAGTGCACCAATATCATTTTCATCAGTCATTTTCTTATTTGCTGACTTAATCGTCAGTAAATCAATTATAAGTTCTAGTGTAAGTTTTGCAATAAAATTTGTTTTCAAATTATATTTGCATCATTATTTTGAATTCATTATTTTCATTATGAATAATATTTTCATAACAATTGATTTTGAATGGCATAAAATTCTTACTCTTAGTCAATTCATCGAATATCTCAAATTCAAGGTAAACACAGACCAATCATTTGTTCAATTCTTTCTATTTGTCTATAACAGTTGGTTTTATGGCATATTTAATCTTGGTTATCCTTCACATCAAATTTCCAATAATTCAATTAACAGTTCATTCAATTATGATCATCATTGTCCTTGGTATAATTGTCCTCATTGTTATTTTCAGTAAGTAGCTATATATATTGCAACCCTTCTTAGTGATAAATTATTCGACAGACTATGTAGAGGAATGCACGCACTATGAGACTCCATAAAATAAATTTTTTGAGACTTTTAGGAAATGTACAAGTTCTGGCTTGAACCGGTTATGTTATAGGGTTTTCGGTTTAGAAGTTGAACCGAACCAAACAAGGACAGATACGTGACAAACATTTTTTCTTATAAATTTAATATCAAAATCGTCTCTCTCTCTCTCTCTCTCTCTCTCACACACACACATCTCCTCAAGATCTCAACCTTCCTCATGCTCTTCGAGCACGTTTGATGGGCTGACATGGATATAACTTGTAGAATTGGACTGGATGGGATGGGACTTGACTGGATTTATGTCTGTTGTTTATTACTCACTAAGGGAACGTAGGATAGGGCCATGGGCCGTGTTATGAACTCAAACCCCGTCCTATTACGGACTCAAATTCAAATTTCCAAATCCAGTACGTGATACAATTTAGCTCATCAAGCACGGGTTGGGTTACAAGTCCATTTTAAATGAAAATAACTTGTCCTAAACAGCCCACCAAACGAGCACTTTTAGTCTTTCATCCACACAACCAACATTGTCATGCATTCTCTTTTTGCTGTTTCCATTTAAGCATGCAACATATCGTTTTTGTCAACTATTTGGCAAAAACAATGAGTATACAAAAACATGGTTTGGATAAAGAAAGATTAGGTTGGATGAGCAAAAGAGAGCAAAATCCCCAAATGCAGCCAACCTTTAAAAGAAATGGATATAATTTGCCCCCAAGTTCTTGGCATGAGATTTAACAACAAAATCTTTCCCTATTCAAAGGGTCTTTTTGCATACCTCACTTTATAGCACACAACACACCCACACAAAGCAAGCAAACCAACAACCCAAATAAGCTTTGTGCTCCCCCTTACCAATGGGCAAGCTTATGCCTCTCCTCTGCTACTTCTATCTACTTTATCTTATTTTCATCACCACATTTTCAGTTTTGATGCTCGTTAATTAGCTCACTCTCGATTCCGACACTGAAGTTCTTCGTCTTATAAAGCGTGCCATTGATCCCAACTCTGTTCCCGCCTCTTCTTATCTGAGTACTTGGGAGTTTGCATTCGTGCACGCGCCCCCCGGGGGGGTGTGGTTGTTGGTGGGGGTGGGAAGGGGAGTTTTAGGGAATCTTGTGCAGTTTCATGCTTGACAACTCCTCTAGCAGAATAACGTCGATTGAGCTTGACAGGTAGTGGCTATGAGGGGTTCATCACACCGTCAATTGGGAATCTAACAGAGCTCACTATCATCAATCTAAGCAAGAACCACTTTCGAGGACCAATCCCGGATACCATTTCTGAACTAAAGAAGCTCACCAGACTTTCATTGTCCGGCAATTTCCTCACAGGCAACCTTCCCAAAAGATTGACTGCGCTCAAAATGCTTCAATCTCTAGACGTTTCATATAACCAGCTTTCCGGCTCCATTCCTCCAAGCATTAGTGGATTAAGCAGCTTGACATACTTGAGCATGTCCAACAATGGATTCACTGGCATAATCCTGAAATCTCAGGGTTATGGTTGCTAAGGACATTAGATCTCAGCAGAAACAATCTCTATGGGCGTATGCCACATGTTCCATTAGGCTTGAGAAAATTGATGCTCAGCCATAGCCTGCTTTCCGGGCACCTTCCGGCATTAAACAAACTCAAACGTATGCAGTTGCTAGATGTGAGTGACTACAAGCTTTCAGGTACGAATACAAGAGATATTTTTACCTTGCCCAATTTGACTGAACTCAATGTTTCAATCAACACCTTCACCACCTTAGAAGTTGTAAGATTTCTTGGACCAGAAACACAGCTTCAAGTGCTTGATGCCGAAGGAAATAAGTTGCGTGGACATTTGCCTCTCAATTTGGTCACTCTTCCAAATTTAACGTCAATCAACCTATCATACAACCAGTTCTTTGGTGTTATACGGGGGGAATTCGGAGCAAAAGTAGGAGCATGGAGAATCCTCTACTTAGATCACAACTTTCTGCAAGGAAAGCTTCCACAGGAGTTCATTCTTGGCCCAAAGACAATAAGGGGTAGTCTTTCAAATAACTGCCTGAAGTGTCCAGAAAACCTTCCAATATGCTTTGGCGTGCAAAAGAAAATTTCAGAATGCAGTGGACAGAATGATATGGTGGGTAAGATTTTTCCGATCAAAATGATTTACTTGTTTTCTAAGGAAATGAATAAAAAAAGAGTTGTATACAACATTTCAAAAACTTCTATATTAAATTGGAATTGGTCCTATATCATACAAATAGAAACTATGTTATGTAATCCAATTCATATTAGGATTGTCAAGCCATGTAAAAAGTGGTTACTGAGACAAAGCAATAAAGAGCAAGGGATAATGTATACTTGCATGAATCATAACCCCTCAACTCTCTAAAGTGGACTCTCTTGATAGAGTTCTCCCTTCATAGTCTTCTCCAAGAAGACTTCCACGCTTAAATAAACAGGTCCAAGGCATGCAACTCAACAGAACCCATCCAAAAACAGGCAAGCACAACCCTGCATATGCCACAACGTCCAGCAATGGTATCCAGAGCTAGCTATGTCACTTTCAGCATTGCAGATTGCAAAACAGCCAAGCAATCCCCTGATTAACAACCAGTTTAGTGCTTCTGGGCTAAACCTGGCAATGACTAAAGGAAAAAAGGGTTTAAGAGATCATTGAGTACTAAGGGAGATAAGATCTTCAACCATTGAAAGATTGAAATACCAAAATCATAAATAAACACAAAATACAAAGACCCTAAAAGAAAATCCCAATTGCAACCATGATGCAGTTCGAGAAACTGAGGACCAGCCGATCTACAGTCAAAACATTCATGTGCCGTTGAGAAAATAGCCAATAGCTGATTGTCTGAGATTGATGCCCAAGTGAAAGTTTCTCTTTAAGAGTCAACATACCTAGCATACTCCTTCCAAATAATAAGAAAAGGAAAAGGAAAAGGAACTAGTGCATCAACAAGAACAGCTACATTTTCCCTCACATTAACCAGTAAAACAAGCTAAAAGAATTTAGTTTTTGGCCAAATGCCACATGGGTCTTTGGTCCCATTTGCAACATACATCACTTTGTTGCTTGCTTGCTACCTTAAAAATCTTACATACCTCGAATATCCAATTGACATGTATGGTGACGGATGGAGCTTGGTGGACAGCCAAGACGACGATTGCAGCAACGGTTGCGTAGCACGGATCTGTCAGGAGAGTGGTAGCCGGAGGTTCTTAGTTCCGACTCCGTCTGGTGCTGTAATCGTTGTCTTTACTCCCCCACAAAGCTCCGTCGCCAGAAATTGGAAAATTGGACTGTACTGTAGTGAGAGAAAGACATGGTCAAATTTGTCCTGAGCGGAATTTGATCTGGTTTGAAACTTGAAACCTCACAAGTTTATTGTTTTTATCACATAGCCTCCTCAAATTTTTAACCTTACAATAAGACCCTTCAAGGTTTTACAAGTTTTTAAACCTTACAATGTTCTATACTATTATAACTTGACATTTCTTTGGAGATGATCTAAGTTAGACAAGAGAAATATTTGAAATATTGATTTTCGAGCCACTCAAACTCCCATAGTTTACTAAACAAGATGTTTCGTAAAGAAACTTTTTTTTTTTTTTTGTGCTTCAGAGGTATTACAGGTATTTAAATCGTTAAATCTTTATTTAAAATTATAAAATTAAGGTCTAAAACCAAGTGGATTGTAGAATTTGCATAGAATGAAGGGACGGATCTGTGACTCTACTTATTTTACACAACTTTTAACACATATTTTTGTGCGGCCCACTTTACGATGTATTTAAACGATCCAAACCGTATATTTTTAAAACACCATTCATAGATGATATTTACAGAAATTAGACAAACTCAAAACCATTAAGATATTCATTTGTAGTGAATAAAATGGACAAAATACAGTTTTACACAGCAATCATGAACTCTTAATCTAAAGATCATATGATTTTTGATATAACGTAACGTAAGTAAAGGAATTGACCAAAAATGATATATTCTAAATCTCAATTAATGAAATGATCAATTTTTTAATCTCTCATCAATATTTATTCATTATGTCGTGAAATTTTCATTGTTATATTGTGGATATTTATCGATACATCATCCATATTTAATTTTGATTAGTCTAAGCATTTGAAATTTCATTTCGAAGAAAATATACCGAAAAAAAGAAGAAGAAAGAAATAATATGCCAAACGGCCACTCAACTCTAGTAAACAAACAGTGGCATTTTCTGGATGTCTGTCTTCTCTCTGTGTTAATGGAGGATCCTCGGGAAAAAGAAGACAAGGAATTCTTAACTGAAGCCGCAGAGTTAGATGAAGCATTGCGAGTCTTGGACTCTTCTCTCTCTCAAATCAAATGGCGTCTCAAATACTCTCGACGTCGACTTGACACAGGTCTCTCTCTCTCTCTCTCTCTCTCTCTCTCTCTCTCAATTGTAACAGTTTTATGTTGTTCTGCTTTCCCAAATGAACACTCCATTTTGGCTTCTGGGTTTTCAATATTTTGTTGTGTTTCAATTCACAAGCTCAATTTTGCATCTGGGTTTTGGTAAATTTGGTCTCCTTCAAATGTTGAGAGTAGATAATTCTTCATTGGTGCCTGTATAAGCTCTCAGCTGAATATGTTTGTCGATGTATCTTTAAAAGTTGAGATGGCTTCTCTTGTGGCTCCTTTGGTTTTCAATTTTGCAACCCCACCTTTTTGTGTTGTAATTTAGAGGGTTAGCAAATGATCTTTCTTGTATACTTCTCAGTGGGATTGGGTTGGTTTTCCTGAAAAATCTTTCCTTTTTTGTTTTCGTTTTTTTTCATCCGTATCAAAAATGGAGAAATCATGTGATTATGAACATACATTTGATTGATTGTAACCCAAAAAAATACATTTGATTGATGAGGATCTTTATTATTTGAATGGAAAGCAAAGAAGGAAAAGAAACTTTCTTTGGTGATCACGAAATGAAAAGAGGCTGTAGAGGAAAGAGTACATATAATCTTGATTTAATATTCTTTTTCCCCGTAAAATGTACATGGAAATGGAAGTAAAACGATTGTGTTCATCCTGCGCTTTTGTAGTATTTTGATTTATAACGATAACTATATGTCCGCTTCTATGTGGTGATACTTTTGGTGATTTCCCTTTAAAAATTTAAACAAGATCCTGAATTTACCGTGTACTGTAAATGAGAAGCGCATCCAAGCCTTCAAGAATCTTTCCCCTTGCCACTGCGAATTCCTCTGGCTTACTAGGAATATATTTGTAAACATTTCAACCAAAGTTAGTATATTTTACTGTTATGGGTAACAAGTTGTGGTTTTGTGGAGTTTTCTGGCAGATATTCTAGCTTTGTGCACAGGAATGAGGCCAGTGATACTGGTAGACTATGGTGGAAAGATGCCTGAACTGCAAGAGAGACTCTGCGCTATTTTGAAACTCTGTCAAAAGGTTTGTCCTTAAAACTTTACTAAACTAGTTGACCGGTTTTAAATTAGTTTTGCCGCTGATTCTGTCACAGTTCATACTGACATCTTATCCAAGTTTTCTAAATCATTCTAATAATACCATTTACCAATAGGTTTAACTTATAGCTAAAGTCAAATATCTATATTAAGTTATTAACAATTAGTCAAGACAATTAGCTGAATCCAGTGAAACCATTTCATAGAAGTTCAATTAGGAATCATGGTGGTGCGCACACGCACACACATAAAAGTGACACGCACATCGATGGTATAACCCGCGAGACGTGGTGCTCTTTCTCTCTCTCTCTCCCCCACACTGAATAAGTTTTTGTTTAGGGTTTAAGGATTTGAAATCTAATGCTTAAAATTCATAAGTCAAATGTTTGTTCTTTGGTAAGAAAGATTGCAATTCATTTTATATAATATTACCTGCATTAGCTTATTCGTACTTCTGTAAACACATGTACCAATATGTGTTGGTATGTCTTTAGTTGGTTATTTGGCAAAGATGATCCAGGTTTTATGATTTAATCATTTCTTATCTCTCTCAGCTCTCTTTCCCATTACATTTCCGCTAGGATGCTGGGCCAAGAATTGGCTGATAATCTGCATTACATGATCTGTTGACGTTGCATATCATGTCATATTATTATTCTGTCCTTTTTCCTTTTACTTTGTAAAGAGTTATTGGTTTTCTGAAAATCAAATAACCTTTAAGACTTTTGTGCAGGAGTCACCCATTTTTGAGCATTTGAGAGTAATGGTTATAGAAGAAATGATATATTTGATACATGTTAGAGGGCTTGCTGATCATGTTAGGTCAAGCTTGAACTCAGAACAAGAGTTGCTCTTTGTGGATGTTGAACGAGATCCTCCAAAGGTTACTCTCTGCTGTATTCTTTTCTGCCGCCTGTAATCTTTACCTTGAACTTGAACATTTTTCTTTCTCCCATTTGGTGATTGCCTTTCTTTCATTTGTGTTGCAGATGATAACAGAAGCAGAAAAAAGCCCATTGGGGATGCAGCTTATATCTATTCAGAAGTTGTTCTCTCTGGTATTTCCTGTTGGTGGAAGGAAAGATGAGGCTTTGCCATCTCAAACTGTAACAGCTGACTGCTGAACCGCCCATAAATGAACACATCCCTTCTCAGTCATCTGAATTTATCGATCTGAGTAGCTGCATGCAAAATACTGAGGTCTTACTGCCAACGCTAAATGGGTAACTGTCTAAGCTCACGTTTGAATACACCTTTACTACCCCTGGGATGTAGCATTTCCCTGCTTCACGTTTCTGTGATGCTGAATACGTTTGTGAACAATTTCAGCACCACTTGGATATGTAAAGTAGCCTGAATGACTTGGATGGACTTTTAACTGGTATGGTCAGATAATTGCTTAGGAGTTAGGTGGTCCCTTTTACAGGAACATTACAAAGTTGGCTTGGATAACCGAATGACTAAAAGTTACAATGAAAATTTTTATGGTCAGATGGTCCCCTACGCTTGCATAATATATTTAGAATTTGAAATCTGATTCCGTTTTCCCATTAATGGGAAAAAAAATCTAATTTTATTTGGTCTTGAACTTCCAGTCTACAACCTGGCTACAAAGCATTTGGAGTACATGAAGTGGAAACTCACAAGACAGATCGATAACTTGTAGTTTGACTGACTGCCAGTAATTAGGCTGGAAATAAAACATAAAGTGGGATTGGAAGGGGGAAATAAATGAAGAATTGTTTTGCCATTGCCTGGTTTGTCTGTCAACTCCTAAACATTCGAGTTGTAAGTCTAATAGTTTGCTAGAAAGTCACTCAAATTGGAAGCGGAATTGATTATGAAGTAATTCTTATACTATTTCAGAGACTTTTAAGGAATGAACTTGTTAGAAGTTGCATGTAAATCCCATTCGAATATTAATAGTTTTAAATTTCTTCCTGTATTAGATGTTGGGATTAGAATCTTGGTGTCATACACTAAAGATTTGTGTTCAAATACTTCAGATGGCTTCTTGGGTATCCGGTTGTGTACTTGTTCAGAGAGGAGCATGGTGTTGCAGCTGTTTGTAATCTTTCTTCCAAGTATCTTCATATTTATAAAATATCAATATGCAGGTTAGTTTTTCTGATCTTGTTTAATGACGCGTTCAGTAGTTATATCAGAATTTGAATTATTAGATTTATATTTTACCACGATATTCGATGTCCTACTTGGGTCACACATACATATTTTCATTCTTTAAAGTACTAACATGGCATCGTACACTTATAATGTCTTGGATTTACAAGAAGTCCTCTAACCAATAAAAGTAAAAGTGTGTTTGTATGTTTTACATTTGGTTTTTGTGGCTTGTTTTAGATAAATTCTTAAAAAGTGTTGAGTATACTATTCTCTTGTCATGCTCGAATTTAAATAACAAAAACTACAGAGTACTCTCATATTTGAGCAATTTAATTGCATACTTAACAGTACTAGCCAAAAGGTCAATCTTCAAAATACATTGCTCATGGACGCAATGTAGCTTGTTGAGATAAAAGTTTGTAATTCTTGCAGGAATGGATCCCCCGATGAAGTATATCAACAAGACGAACTCTTGAGGTAACTCTCCGTGAAATTTTTATTTTATTTTTATTAGTGTTATAATTGATGGATGTCTTCTGTAAGTTGAAAAGAATACTTGATGAGGCAACACAAAGAAAGTATTTTTTTTTTTTTAGTGCAAGTTCTTTTGACTGTTATGGGAAGAGCACATCAGTATTGGAGATGATATTGATGTTATGCGTAACGAGGATGAATTTTGTGATATTTTGAACCCCACCCTATATTTGTAGCCTTATTTCAGAACTGTTGGAAGTCCTAAAGTTAATTGAGTAAGGCTTTTGAGAAGTTATTTAGTAAGGGCATAGTTGACGGGAAAACCAGTTCAGATTCTAATGTGGTGGTGGTTAAAGGTTCATTTATAAGTCCTTGGAGATGCACTTAACAGAGAATAGATACTCTCTAATCTATCAGCATTTTTTTCTTGTTGCGCAGAATGGAAAGTGTTATATTTGTGGAGAGTATATTATCGGTAGATGGATAGGGGGTCGGGTTCACCATTGTGTTTATCATTCCCGTGCCTTTATAAATTGTCATTGACACATAATATATTATCTACCCAGAATATAACTCTCAGCAGTCTTTACCTGCACGGGACACAGAGACGCGTTAGTATCTGTCATTTAAACGGGCAGAACTTTAATATTGCAGTGGTGTTACATAACCAACATAACTGAGATTTGATTTTTGTTGATTGGTTGAATAGTTTCTCAGTGCCCTACGATCTTAGCATGAGAGGGAGCAAGGAAAAATGGGCAGAGGCATTTTTGGCTCATATGCAGGGGAGATGGGAAAGGTGCAAGCGTGCTTGGAGGCCTTTGCAGATGGAGGTTAGCGAACTAAAACCGCAAACTATTGCGTTCTAAAATAACCTGTTTTACTACTTTCGCTCACCATGCTCAAACATCCTCCAAGAATCCTTGTTATGAGCAATACTATAGATACTTGTAAAGGAGTTTAATTAAGAATATATTTTGTCACAATGAATTTACATATATTTCGTCTTGCATTTACAGTTTATTGCTCTTTTATATGTAGCAAAAATGTTCTCTTGGTCATCCCGTGACGGAGGAATGTTTGTGACTCGCCCTTGAATTTGATATCAAGGATAGAGAATAGTGAATGTTCTTTTAATGTTTTAATCTCAACCCTTGATATTAAATTAAAGGGTGAGTGAGCATGAAGCTTTGATCACTTGGCGACCAAGAGAACAAGATTCTATGCAGGCTTTTATATTTGGCCACATGATGCGGTTGTTGATGGTTGGTCTTCTTTTTTAAATTCTTTAAATTAAGGAGTCTTATTTTATTGTCACGTTATTTGATTTACAAAATGTGGTTTAAATCATGGAGTCTTATTTTATTGCTTTTATCTTTAGAAAAACTAATGAAAATGGCTTGAAAACTTTGAGTTTTAACGAAAATGACAAAATAAAGGGTAAAATGAATAGTATCAGGATTAATTTTTTAGTGTAAAAATATGGTTTTTCGTTAAAGTGCAAAGGGTTTTGCTTCATCTCAAGTCAGGTTTGTTCATGAATTGCATTTCGCGTTTAAAATTTCTTATGCATTATGACTAGTGAAATTGTCCATTTCTGCGTATGAATTGTCACACAATTTAAGAAAGTCTATATAAGTTGACCTGACACTTTCTTTTTCCAAAAACGTGTTTTTCACCATTGATATTTTCAGATTGCTTTTGCATTTGAGAAGGGTCTTGGGGTGTACTTGTTGGATAAAGGAAGGGATCTTTGATTTATTTAGAGTTGGACAGAGCACTTGGCTCTTTGGTTAGAAACATTATATTTTGTCTTAATTTTTTTTATGTTGGAATAAAAAGAATGACCATAGATGATCAAACTCACCAAGCTTGACTTGATGTACATTCATTAATTTATACTATTGGCATAAAAATTTGAAGATAACCTAAAAAAGGTTTTTTTTATTTTATGGTTCTTCATGAGCGTATCTCTCTGATTAAGGAAATCATCAAAAGAAAATTCATGCTTAATCACTAATTAGCAGTGACTAAAATATTCACAAAATTGTTGATATTTTCGCTGAAATATCCAAAAAGTCAATGATTGATATGGAAAATGGGGGTTGAAATGCAAACTTCTTCATATATCGACGAGATATAGAAAAATCAATGAATGTCAACAATATTTACCGATTCACTACAAAAAAAAAAAAAATTGTTAGAACCTATTGTAGATCTTGAACTTTTAAATTTTTTTATGAAATATTAGGCATATTAACTTAATTGTATAATGACACGTGGTATACTATCTCATATTTCTGGTACACTATAAATCTCTCCACAAGTAGTTAGCTAGTTTGCCTATACGACACGACTTGTGTTATATATGGACAAAACCCACTTAATCAAATGGCATGATTTCCAACGGTCCACATTTTACATGTTGGGGCCAATATTGTTGTTTTACTGTTTTGCACTACCACCTATCGTATTTTTCACTCTTATTTAATATAATATATATATCATAAATAAATATAAAGTGGTTGAAAAAAACGTAACATGTGAGTGCCCATAGTGGAAAAGGATCCTTGTTGGATCCTTTTTTCAGAAATTCGGCATATCATAGATCATGATCGTTCATTGTATATTATGTGGTCAGTTTTCGTTAGGTACTATTTATATTTAATTTTAAATTTTAAATTTTAAATAATTTTTGATCGCACGATGTGCGACGAACGATCATGGTTACGGGATCTTCCGGATCCCAAGAAAAGAATCCAGCAAAGATCATTTTCCCCCAATAGTATCCAAATTAAAATTGCTTAACTTTTAAAAAAAAAGATTTGTACATGCCTTGTTTCCATACACATCACGTTTCTTAATTATCTTTTGTTTTTATTCTCTCAAAATGCCCCAAATAAATGTGCTTGAGGAGGGGAAAGGATGTCCAAAACAAATACAACTTTTTGACTAAAGCAACACTTTTTTAGTTGGATGCTAAATCGACGCTAAACAAACAACAATATATGCCTTAAGTTCCTTTTGTATCTAAATCGACACACCTTTTCTGTTAAGCAGTCATCTCCTAAACTCAGTAATATATAATTATTACTTCAATCAAATCACTGAAAATCATTTTCCTTCAATAGGAAGCATGCTGAGAGAACCAGTAATTAATTCGCTAGAAACTAAGTTTTTTTGGTGCTGAAATCCTAGTTTAGATTGTTCATTTCTAAAGAAGCAAGCGCCTACAAAATTACAAACACAGAGTAGGGACGAATTTCTATTTCAAAAACATTGCAGTACGCAAGTCTCAATCTTCACTGCGTTTGTTTAAATATCAGTCTTGTTTATTCAATATAGTGTTGTTATTTATTTAATTAGTAGCATAATTCAAATTTATTCTATATATATTTATCTTTCATCGTTGATTATTATCCAACAATCGAATTTCGGTTCTCATTTGATGTGAAGAATATCAGAAATCATACACTTATTCGGCAATGCTTAAGCCTCCAACTTCCCATCATTACACGCAGCCAAACTAATGCTGGAAAATCCCTCTCCAATAAAACACAAAATTCGAAATAAAAGCTCCTACAAACTTGACAAATAAAGAAAAAAAAAAAAAAAAAAAAAAAAAAAAAGAGAATTAAGAAGAAAAATAAAAAGAGGCAGATATTCCCTTCTTCTTGTTGCTGTTGAGATCCATCACCTTCTTCTTCTATTTTTCTTTGAAGAGGGTGAGGGCTTCAGACTCGTTGGGAAGTGCGGGGATAGCTCCCTTCTTGGTTGTTGTAATCGCTCCGCATGCATTTGCAAATTTCAGTACCTCCCTCAACCTCTTCTCGTCCTGCAAATCCAACCAAATTCGTTCATCAGCTTTCCAAATTAATATAATTCAAATATATATAGCAAATTGGATGCATAAAATCATCGTCAACTGTGTAGCTTACTTCAAGAATGGAGTGATCATCGACAATCTTCGCAAGGAGAGCACCCACAAACGAATCACCAGCGCCGGTGGTGTCTACGGCTTTGACCTCGAAGGATTCCACCACTCCACGGAAATTCTGTATTTGTTGTTTTACAAGTAATGTACACAAGTTAAGTTTTTAACCCAATTACCAAACCAAATGCCTAAAGTTTCCAAGAAAAGAAGTAAACAAAACTCAATATCCTGGTGGATAGGGAGTTGGTTATCTACCCATGCTTCAAAACCCAATCCCCTCTAAACTAAAAACTAAATATTCTAGTGGATAGAGTGTTGAATTTTATCCATACGTCGTCACCGGTTGAAACTCTCCAATTTACTAAACTATTGTAATAGCTTTGAACACATACTAACTCCTTCGAAAATGTCTGCTTTGCCACATAATAACACTTTAAATATTTCTACTTTGTTACATAAATAGTGCACGGCCACGACATTTGTAGAGTGTCAATAGCAACTCGTTTTTTTAATATGCAAAACAAAAACATCAAATGAATAAGATAAATATTCCACTAATATCAAGAAATATAATCAAACTTACTTTGTCCACAACCAAAATCATGGACTTAAACCCCACCCCCACCTAACCCAGTGGCCCAACGTGACTAAAAGTCAAAAACTCAGAACTAATTAAGCAATGCAATTGCAGGTGCAACAAAATAGTAAAGAATTGGGTTGGATCGCATAAGGAACTGACCTTGGTGTAGTATCTACAACCCTTCTCACCAAGAGTGACAAGGAGGAGCTTCAAGCTATCTCTCCACAGAGTCATGGCATTGGCATCATCAATGTTGGGGTTCCCTGTAAGGAACTCCAGCTCCACATCACTCACCTTGATCAAATCGGCCTTATCCCATATGCTCATTATCTGCTTCTTTGCCTCTTCCCGCGACGGCCACAGCGGCTCCCGGAGGTTCGGGTCGTAGGAGAGCAATGCACCTGCTTCTTTAGCCACCTCCATTGCCTTCAGATGTGCCGATCTGCACGGCTCCACGATCAAGCTAATGGATCCATAGTGGAACACTTTGGCCTATAAATACAAAATCAAAACCGGACTCGGTGAGCAAAACTACATCAATCATTTCATTATCTATACGGTGTAATACAAAAAAAGGGTAAAATTTAAAAATTATGGGCATATTGTCATTTAGTACTACAGTCAAGCGGTATTACTTTTCTTGGTAGCGAGAGAGGTCTTTGGTTCGATTTTCACCATAGACGAATTTGAACCACATTATTGCTAACTCATTGTAAAACTCAACTCCCTTCATTCTCTTAATATAAAAAAGAACGTTTGTTAAAAAAATAAAAATTATAAATATGTTGTTTTTGTGAAAATATTTTTAAAACTAATATTTAGTAAAATTCAAGTGGGTCTATGCTTCTTCTTGAAAATTAAAAAAAAAATTTAATCCAAAATTAATTAACCAACTTTTGGCCATTTTAAGGGAGCTTTCAGCCTAAAATTACTTTATGATAAATGCCTCCCCATCAACTTTAAGATGACAAAAAGTGAAAAATAATTGGACGTAGAAAAAAGAAGAGAAAATAATTTAATTAAAACGAAATAGGCCAACTTAAAATAAAATAGAGCCACAAATTTCAACACGTATTTTCAATTGATTGGATTAACATGCAATATTACCGAACCGACCACAAAATGTACAATAACCACTCGCTTACGAGTGCGCGTGAGTCAAAAAAATACAAACACCCAAAACCAAATCGCGCTGCCAAACTTTACCTATTTAATTCTAAATTAATTATCCAAGTGGCCTCCGCTACAGTGATAAAAAAAATGTATTGTTTTTATAGCACGACATGAAATGAATTAGAACTCTGTCGACTTTCTATCTAATCTAATCTAATAAATCTATACAAAAAAAAAAAAAAAAAAATCTAAATTAATTAATTATTTTTGTGGGGAATATATTGGGGCTGGTGTGACTGTCTGATATGAGAGATCCGTGATAAGCGGGACCCACATCAGAAAATTAAGGGCCAAGAATTAAAGTGAGATCCAAGTGTATCCCAGATCCAAGTGAGATGAACCAACCTTCCGTCAACGGCAGGTACGTTTATCACACCCAAACCCTCCCTCCAAATTTTCCGAGAAAAGAGACACAAAACGTAAGGAGAGAAAACGTACGGATTTGATGAGCTCGATGTTGAGCTCGTCGGGCTTCAGCAGCATATCGGCGCTAGGGTTCCGGTAGAACATGAACTCACGTTCACCGTCGGCGCGTAGGGTCACGAAGGCCAACGCGGTGCGGGCGCCCTGATCGAACGAGATGCCATCTCCATTGACGCCGTATTGCTTCAGGATGCCGGCGAGCATGTGGCCGAACTCGTCGTCGCCGAGTTTGCCGACGAACGCGGCATTTCCGCCGAGGCGAGCCACGGCGATCGCCACGTTGGCGGGAGCCCCGCCGGGGGCTTTGAGGAAGCCAGGAGCTTCTGCAAGAGAAACGCCCGATTCGGTGGGGACGAAGTCGATCAGCATCTCGCCGAAACTCACGATCATACCCTTTCCGGTCTGCGGTACGCCATTGTTAGCCATAACTGAAAGAGAGAGAGAGAGAGAGAGAGAGAGAGAGAGAGGAACAGAGTTTTGGTGGGATGGTGAGGGGAATAATGAGAGAGGAGGAAGTGATCGGAGGTGGGGGAGTATTTATAGGGAGAGGGAGAAACCGAGGAAGGGGAGGATTATGAGGAATCCGAAATTATACTTTATGTGGGGAAAACCTTGCAAAGAAAGGATTAAGGAGGAATCAGCGGAGAAAATGGATTATGATATTATTAATAATTCTAGTTAATTAAAATAAATGCACTAATGGATTATTTATGTCTTTTTTTATTTATTTCTTGAGTCAAATTAATCCAACTGCCTTTTTTTGTATGATTCTCCAAATTTGGAGAATAATGAATTATTTATTCTCTCATTCAAGGGTCCACTTGATATGGAGGAGAAATTTTATCATGCTAGGAACAAGTGTACATTATGTGTTATAATATAAATTAATAAATTTTTTATTTTTTGAGTTGTCAATTTTTAAACACAAGAATTTCGTCATTTTTACAATAATACATGATGTATCACCTTGTATTTTAAAAATGTTAAAAATATCTTGACATGATGAACCTAATGGGAAAAAAATAATAACAAATAGTTAAAAATGATTACTTTATTAAATAGTGAAACAATAATTACATGCACATGTGCAACTTTTTGTTACGTAAAGATCATTTTAGTAAAAATTGGATGACACATCATGATGATCTAAGTTGATCTTAATTGATGACTGTTTATATATTAATTAATCTTTTACAATAAATATATTTAAATCATAATTTAAAAAATGAAAGATTTTGGATACTTCATTGTTACACAAACTTTCATTTCCATTGATTAAATAAAACGAGAAACATCATTGATTGTAAATACAATTTTATGATTACAAACGCAATAAAGAAGCAATACAAAAATATACTCCACATAATCACATCAAACCAAGCGGAAATGTACGTGCACGAGGAAAAAAACCTTTAAATGACTTTCTGATGAACTTGCAAAAGACGACGCTCTTTCGACAAAGAAGTGCTTCATTTTTTAGGCAAACAGACAACAAAAGCATAACTACAATTCCTTAGCCACACAAGATCCATATCTAATAAACATGAAAGATAAACTCATAAGATCCAAATCGTATGAGCTAGACCCAACACCGTCAAGACACCCAAGGTGATCACAGTATCATCACCTATAGACTTACAATGATAGTAGAACATGCTTGTCAATCCCCTCAAACCACTGCATTTTCCCACAATGGAAAGAAAGCACCACCCTTTGATGATCATGCAATTGTCGGCAAAAAAAAAAAAAAACCCCTAGTATGGGTCACTTCCAACAAAGTCGAGCTTCCTCCACATAATCCTTACCAAGTGCACAAATCATAAAATCACCCCTTAGCGCTGAACAACAATTGTCATTCTAAGATTCGAGGTTGAGAAGTACGTCATAAGGTGGTGCTATCCACACACTCATATTTACCTTTTACACATCATTTTTAATTTTCGGTTGTCGGATCAAATAATAAAATTGAACACGAAGTTGTATGAAAAGTAAAAAAAAAGTGTGAATAATACTACCCAAAGTAGTATTATTGCAATTGTAGGGGGCCGGGGAGTGTGGTGTCATGGTCGCATTTGGATGGTGAAATATAGGTACTTTCCACCCTTATTTGGTCTCTTGTAATAATCCTAAATGGATTGATCAGAGCTGGGACATATTTGGTTAACCTTCTTTTTGCTGATGTTGAGTTCACGTCTGATTATAATTTGAAATTCCAACAACAAAATTAAATTAATATTATATTTGAAAAGTTCAGAATTGATAGAAAACCTTAATTTATGCATTTAATTTTGAATCATTTTCCACGATGCATCCGCAACAAAATTAAATAGAATTATCAACTTTCAAATTGTAGGATATGTTGCAATCCTATTAGATTAGGAAGTGATTGTGTAAATTTTAGTGTATTTAGGAATATCACTTGTATTCTTATTAGTAGTTAATATCCTGTTAGAGTTGTAATTCTAAAAGGGTAACAAATTAATCTTCCCTACTACTATAAATAAAAGCACAATGGGGTGAAATAGAACATACTCACAATTACACATCTGTCTCTTTTCTCTACTATTGCCGCACCTTTTCCTCTCTCTATGGCCTTTATACAGTTCAGTAAATTATGCATACAATATGTTATTAGCACGTTTTTGAAGCTGCGCTAACAAGAGACTTTGATCTTCAATGGGGAGTATTACGTTTTAATCATTCTTTTTTTATGATTAATTTACTATTTTATTGAATTGATCTACAAGCTATTGATTCAATTTAATTTTTTTCTACCTATTTTGGTCAAATGGCAAATGTTTGAGGATAATCAAGTGATTTTATCTCTAATGTGGACAACTTTTTATTTTTTTTCGTCGTCTTCTTTTCCTCTTGACTATGTACACTTTGTATTTGAATTAGACATGAAGGTCCAATTTGCAGCTGCAAAGTATACCAAAACAAAATTACTTTTTTGGCCTCCTACAGTTATTATGTGTTGTCTTCGCGACCAAAATATATAAGAAATTAGATGAAAATTTCAAAATCTAACTTCAATGGAGAAATTGACTATTTAGCATCTATTATAGAGAAGATAAAAAAAAATACAAAATACAGAAAGATTGCTGGAATCAATGGGGTGCCATTCAAAATTGGCATCATGAGATTATGCATAGTTCATATATTCATAGATGATGATAATTTGGTTTACTTTAACACGCATTGAATTCGGTATTTTTCATATTTTTTTGTTTATTGAAGAGTCGTAGTTCGCGCCCTTACTAATGGGTCACATGCTGTAATTATAAGTCTGTGCTAACGTAAAAGGATAAAAAAAGTATAGAAAATCCAGAAGAAGTGTCATGTAATAGTAACCCTTTTTTGTTCCATTATTGAAATGGATGTTTTTTCAAATATATGAATAAAGAATGAAGACCGACCAAAATGAAAGGAAGAATGGATTATACAAATGAGATAAATTTTAGAATGTCGAGAACACGATTCAGAACATTAAATATAATAAAAGAAATTTAATAGTCCAAATTATGTTCCCGATATACTTAAAAAAAATGTCTGTATGTAAACTGGGGCACATAGATAATTTGAGCAGAAAGTGGAAACACTCATCAGCCAATGGTTTCTGCTTTCGTAATAAGTGAGTGAGTTTATGGTTTCACTTTACACCTCACACGAAAGAGGACAGAGCAGTCTGAACAAAAATAGTTTTATCCAATGAGGTTTTGAGAGTTTGATGGTTTTGTTGTTTTATTGTGGCTGGCTGGATTTGATGAGGAAAGTTCGTACTAGTGTCACATGCCACTACTATCTTTTTTTTTTCTTTCTTTTTTTAAATGAAAAATTTGTAGCAAGTCACAGTTATCTATCTTTTTCGAAAATCAGAAAAATTTACAGAGGTATTTCAGTCTCTTTTTAAAGTCAAGGAGACTTACTAGCTTGGAGCCTCAAACCCGGATCCTCTCTCTTTTTTTTTTCCTTTTTTTTATTATTATTATTTTTTATTTTTATATTTTAGGAGTTAAAATCCACGTCCTTACTACTGAGCCATTTTTTATTCACATGCCACTGCTATCTGCTACAATTATTTTATGAACAAAATCACATCGCGTGACCCTCATTATATAATAAACAATAAAAAGAGAATAATTTTTTTCTTTAATTAACCAACAAATTAAAGCAGATTAGTTCATATAATATTTTTACAAAAGTCCAGGGTCTAATTTGATATGTAATCACAAAACAAAATTAAGAGATTAATATAAAGTGAAAATGGTTGGACTTTAGCAACTTGTCAATATTAGGTAATGTGATTTCAAAGTAGGTGAGACCAACTATGGCTAGACCTAAATAGCTAATAAATCACACATTTTTTTTAACATGAAAAAAAAAATCACATATTGAACTACAAAAAAAATCCTATGTATTCAATTTTCTTACACACAGAAAAATCTGGCTTTTTAGTGTCCAAATATAGTCCTAAATTTAATGAAAAAATAGACAATGTTAGTAAAAATGACCAATAGTACAATACATTGTTAAGTATGAGAAAGAAAAAAACTAATATGAGAATTCAAAAACTAAATCAATCTAAGAGTAAAATTCAACGATCATTGCTACAATAAGCCAAAAGACTCACTCAACTCTCTAGAATTTAGGAGACTCACAAAACACTGAATTAATTGGATGAATGACAAAATGAAATGTACCCTGTAACATCCCACATCGCCAAAATGAGTGGATCCCGTAAGCCTTATATGTATATTCTCATCTCTACCTAGCACGAAGCATTTTGGGAGCTCACTGGCTTTGGGTTCTGTAGGAACTCCAAAGTTAAGTGAGTTCGCGCAAGAGCAATTCCAGGATGGGTGACCCACTGGGGAGTTCTCGTGTGAGTTCCCAGAAACAAAACCGTGAGGATGTGGTCGAGGCCTAAAGCGGACAATATCGTGCTACGGTGAAGTCGAGCCCGGAATGTGGTGGGGACCCAGCCCGGGATGTGGCATACCCTTTGTATAAATGTAGAAGTGATTATTTATAAAAGTTGTGTATTACTTGAAGAGTGGACATATGTATCTCTTTATACTAAAGACAAAAGTGTCACTAATACTATTGTATTACAGTTTTTTTTCACTTTTAAGTAAAATGTTTTAAGTTCTATTTTCATTAATGACAAGTTTAATAAGACATTATTACCAATTCATTGTAGAGTTCAAATCTTATGCACCAATGGCCTCTCTGTGGCTAATCTCATTTGTTGACATCTAATTATTCATTAAAAAATAAATTTATTAAGTCAAAACGACACGTGTCACTCAAGTAGACAAGTCATAGAGAGGCAACAAAAAATATTTGAGTCCATGAGATGTGAACTCCTCTTTGTGTGACTTTAAAGGCCTATTTGGTGAGCTGTAATGCTGTATGAAATTGAA